GTGTTGGGATGGATCCTGATAGCAATTGTTATTATCATCCTACTGGTTTCCACAGCTATCACCCGATGTATGTCTCCAGTTAGTTTTATGCAGTTGAAATTCTGGAAAATCTATTTGGACCAGGAACAGCAGATCTTTAAAACTCAAGCCACCCAGCATGCAACTGAATTGGCAAAAGAGAACGTTAGGTGTTTCTTTGAGGGCGCACAGCCGAAGGAATACAACACCCCAAGCATTAAAGACTGGCAGCAGATTTCATCACTATATGTCTTCAACCCAAAGGGCCAGTACTACAGCATGTTGCACAAATACGTTAATAGACAAGAGAAGAACCAAAGTATCAGATCTTTGGAAGGAGATGCTGTGATTCCTGTTCTTGGTTTTGTAGATTCACCTGGTATAAACACTACTGCTGAGCTATGACTTTAAAAAATTAACTAAAGAAAGGGTGCTTGAAACTATTGCTTAAAATAAAAACCAGCATTTATCTTGTTTATGATTGCTTTCCACCCATTACATTGTAAATACATAGTATTTTAAATTTGAAATTAAAAATTCACAAATAAACCTGTTGGCTGATTTTTTTAAAAAAAAAAAAACAACCTCAAACTTATTGTCACAGAGTGAGGACTGACTCACAGCTGACCCTCCAGTGGGTTTCAAAGTGACACAATAGAGCCAGACTGAATTCTTCCTCTGGTGTTCTTTTGTACCAAATAGCAATGCTGATTGCAAATAAAAGACATTAGTGACAAAAACAGGTGAAATAGCAATTTAACGTCAGATCTTGCTATTAGCTTATCTATTGTTCATTCCAAGTTCACTTTTTGTTAAGATGGGGCATCTTTCTCACAACTTTGACCTCTAGTTACATCCACTTCCTAAACAACATCCCTCCAGAATCTCTATGAACTTTGATAAAAGTCAATAGTTATAGAAAAGCTTCACGACTTTTGTTCATAGGGTCACTATGAGTCATGCTCAGCTCAAAGGCAAACGACAACAATAAGAAGTCTGGAACTAAATAAAAGAAAAGAAAATATTTTGAAGCCAAATCTTGAAAAACTGCTTTAGGATAACTACAAGTAAGAACTTATTTTTAGTTTGAACGATGGGAGGAAATACTATAAAAGGTACTTGTTATGGTAAATTTCAAATATGCACAAAAATAGGGAGCAAATAGAGATACTGTTTGACCCAGCAATTCCACTACTGGGAATATACCCCAAAGAGACCATAACTGCCACCCAAGCAGATATATGTACACCCCTCTTTATCCCGGTTTTGTTCACAATAGCAAGGAGTTGGAAACAATCTAAGTGCCATCAACAAACAAATGGACAGAGAAGCTGTGGTATATTCACACAATGGAATACTACGCTGCTTTGAAAACCAAGGAACTCATCCAATATTATTCAAAATGGTTGACACTGGAGGACATTATGCTGAAGGAAATATCTCAGTCACAAAATGACAAACATTGCATAGTGCCACTGTTGTAAAACAGATCTGACCTCTGGGTTGGGGGGAGACTGAGAAAGATGGAATAAAATGGTGTATATTGCATTGAAATAGTTGAGGGAGAAAACTTGTTTAAAAGGGATATGTGATTAGGTATTTGTGTCATGACAGGACTCCAGAGCGAAGGCTGCATAGTGGAGTGGACCCTCGATTGTAAAAAAATGAAAGAGGAGAAAACTGGCCATCTGAATCAGGGCGAGTCCAGCCCCCCACTCCCTCCCTCTTTTGGCTCCCTCGTGCCTGCCCAAGAGGCCTCACCCAGGGGAAGGAAAGTGATTGCCAGCGAGCAGAGCAGCGGGGGAAGTCAAACCTACACATCTGGAGTTGACTGTCTTTCGCAAAATGTCTGGGAGGGGCATCCAAGGTTACAAAACCTTAGCGTTCCCGGGGCCAGGCAGATACAGCGCAGAGGAGCCTCACCCCAGACATGGGCTGTTTGCTGCTGCTGCTGCTGCTGCTGCTGCTGCTGCTGCTGGCCCACACCTGAGTCCCAGTCTCCTGGAGGACCAGCGATGCATCCGGTCAGAGCTGACAGCAATGAGCGTTTAATTTTTTCCATTACTGTTATTATTAATTAATATTTTATTATTTAATATTTTATACTTAATAAAGATTTTTGTACCAAAAACAATGAAAGCATTTTTCTTTTACTTTTCAAAGAGAAGAGTGTACTCGGGGGAGGGATGGGCAGTGAGAAAAGTACAACAATGAATGAATGGAAATCCAAAGTCTCTGTAAAGTTTCATTAAAATTAATAATAATTTAAAAAATTAAAAAAAAAATAGGGAACATAGCATTAAGAAACCCTACATAGTGGTCAAGAAGCTTAACAGTAGAGGATGTCAGATAGAACCCATAGCATACAAAAACCAGAATTATTTTTTTGACCTAGTGTAGCTTAGAGTGTTTTGGTGGCCAAGTGAGAAAGGATTTGCGCTGTTACCACAGTCAGGCAATTCCAATCCACTAGCTTCTCTGAGGGAGAAAGATGGGTAATCACCTAAGAGAATCAGAACTTTCAAAAACCTGCTGGAGGGTCAGCTCTGAGTCAGTTCAGATATGACAACAATGAGTAAGTTAGCGTAAAAAAAGAGAAAAATACTTGAAAAACTGAAATCTAGAGAGTAATGTGAATAGTATTTCAGTCAGGAAGAATATTATAAACAAAGAATCCCACTCCTATTGAGTAAATTGCAACACAGAGTGACCTTCTCTCTACTTTCTGAAGCTATAAATCTTGATTGGAGGAGGCTGCTCACTTTTCCCCTGTGGAACAACTAGTGGATTCAAACCACTGACCTTTTGGTTAGCAGCACAATACTTAATGCACTACAAAGTTAAATAACTCTACAAAGTCTTCAAAAATCAAACTCAGTTGTGTTAAGTCAAATCCAACTCATAACGACTATCCCTTGGGTTTTTGAAGTTGAAAATCCTAATAGAATGAGTATGCACTTCGTTCTCCCCAAGAGCCACTGGTGGATTTGCACCGCTTGAGGCAAAAACCTTTAGGTTGTCAGCACAACTAGCTACAGCCTATGCCAGTAGAGCTCCCTGGAGGTGAGAAAAATCTTTACCTAGTTGGAAATTATGCAAAGGCTCCTGAGGTGGGGGGAGGGAAATGAACAAGCAACAGATCACGAAAAGCCTTGAAATCATAAAAATGATTTTGTTTCTTAGTCTATAAGCAAGAGGCAGCTAGCTGTCAGAAGAGAGCAAGGAAACACTGCATGGTTCAAAATTGGAAAGGGCATCTACCAGGGATGTGTTCTGTCTCCACACCTTTTCAATCTGTATGCAGAACAGATCATCTGGGATGCTGGGCTGTACAAGGAGGAATGTGGCATCAGGATTGGTGGAAGATTGATCAACAATCTGCGTTATGCAGATGACACAACCCTGACTGCTGAAACTGAGGAGGACCTAAAGCACTTGCTGCAGAAGGTCAAGGACTTTAGCTCAACATCAAGAAAACAAAGATCGGCCGGCACGTCGAGGGCAGAGGCAGTCGCCGCGATGGACGTGTTTCTGATGATTCGGCACCACAAAACCACCATCTTCACTGACGCCAAGGAGTCGAGTACCGTGTATGAGCTGAAGCGCATCATCGAGGGCATCCTTAAGCGGCCACCAGACGAGCAGCGTTTGTACAAGGACGACCAGCTCCTGGAGGATGCCAAGACTCTGGGCGAGTGTGGCTTCACCAGTCAAACAGCAAGACCCCAGGCTCCGGCCACAGTGAGGCTGGCCTTCCGGTCAGATGACACATTTGAGGCCCTCCGCATTGAACCATTCTCCAGCCCGCCGGAGCTGCCAGACGTGATGAAGCCACAGGATTCAGGAAGCAGCGCCAATGAACAGGCTGTGCAGTGAGGGTGGTGCCCCCCAATAAAGAGATTTGGGTGTCAGCCT